GGATACAGAAAAAGAACACTTCATTCCCTAGTTTGGGTGATACTACACTTCCCATGATGCAATTCTTTCATGACAACCGGCTAATCCCCGACTCAGACTGCAAGGAATCTGGGTGTGACCCTAGATAACAACCTGTCCTTCACTGCAAACATCGCTGCTACAACCCGCTGCTGCAGATACATGCTTTACAACAGGGCTATTCAATTGGCGGCCCGCGGGCCAAATCCGGCCCCGGGGTGATATTTACTGGCCCTTTGAGTATAATGTTAAAAAGTCATCAATTTTTTTTTTTTAAGATTTTTTTTATTTTTTTTTGTGCCATAGTGCCTTTATTCCAGAGAGGGTGTTACATTGAGAGATAGAGGGGTAGACAATGCCTGAAAACTTCGACGGGCTCGGGTTTCGAACCCACCTACTATACTGTAGTGACAACTCCTGTCATTGATTGCATCTCTGCGTGAATGATTAGATCATTTCACCTAAATGAAATCAAATGAAACATGTAGGCCTACTGAGTTCTGAACTTGCCATTTAGATCTATAAAGCAGTGTTGTAGTCAAGTCACCAATTCACGAGTCCAAGTCACTCTCGAGTCACCACTCTTCGAGTCCGAGTCCAAGTCCGAGTCACCAAGGGAGAGTCGTAGTCGAGTCCGAGTCCAAGTCCGAGTCACCCAAGGAGTGTCCGAGTCGAGTCCGAGTCATCATTACCTGTGTTCGAGTCCGAGTCCAAGTCCGAGTCACCCAAGGAGTGTCCGAGTCGAGTCCGAGTCCGAGTCATCATTACCTGTGTTCGAGTCCGAGTCCAAGTCCGAGTCACCTAAGAAGAGTCCAAGTCAAGTCCGAGTCACAAGTCTTCATGTATTAATCTTCATGGATATATGTGTTGAAATGTAGCTGCTCCTCCACATTACTTTTATCCTGTCATGTTATACTAATCTGTCTATTGGCTACAATTCTTGTAATAGGTGCTATACAAATATAAAGCTTATTACTAATATTAATATTATTATTATTATTATATATAAATAAACTATGTTTAAAATGAGTTACCTTTTAGAGAAGTGATTATATTTGTATGCCAATATTTTCCTATGGTAAAGTTTTCGTTTTGCACTTTTATTTTGATAGTAATAAGATCGGGACTCTTATTTTGAAGGAACTTTTACCGGTTAAATCGGTTTACTGATAAAGATTTAGCCCCAGAAAGCACATGGCTACTTAGCATGCAAAATGACGTCATTCTGCATGTTAAGTAGCCGTGTGCTTTCGTGTTATCGGCTGAATCTTTATTTATTGATTAGATCACGTTACTCTGATGATAGTGTTCAAGACAGCCTATATGTCTGAACTCGATGTTTAGAGTAATGTGTTACGGAGCCTTCTCTTCAATATTGTTTCCACATAGAGCATTTTGCGCTGCTCTTTTCCAATGTCGAAGCAGAATGTGTGAAAGCATACAGCACGATGCAGGGTGTGTCTCTAGACATCTTTAGACTGGAATAGCGGGGCCCAGTACGTGAACTCGCCTCGCAGCCGGTGCACACGCCAGGATAGAGGACATCAGACTCCATAGAAAACTTGCTCGAGTCCGAGTCCGAGTCCAAGTCGGAGCGTCAATGTACAAGTCGAGTCCGAGTCATCGTGGGGGGAAAACTGCACGAGTCCGAGTCCGAGTCCAAGTCAGCGTACGCGATAATTCACGAGTCCGAGTCCGAGTCCAAGTCATCGTGTGCGAGAATTCACGAGTCCAAGTCCGAGTCGCGTCAATCAGTGCGCGAGTCCGAGTCGAGTCACGAGTCCCGAAAATCGGCACTCGAGTCCGACTCGAGTCCGAGTCCAGGACTCGAGTACTCCATCTCTGCTATAAAGGCCTTGGGGCTATGTTGTTTGATTGAATTAAACACAATATATGCACTCCACTATGCTGTTGTAGTATTTACTGTATCTGAAGCTCTTAAATATGATTGCTCATATTTCAAGCCATCTTTTTCCCGGCCCCTTGCTTTGGATCATTTTCATCAACCGGCCCCCATTCCAAACTAATTGAATAGCCCTGCTTTACAACATCAGGAGGATACGTCCCCATCTGACCCAGAAAGCAACGCAGGTTCTGGCCCAGGCTCTCGTCATCTCACGCCTAGATTACTGCAACTCCCTCCTGGCTGGTCTACCTGCATGTGCCATCCGACCTCTGCAGCTCATCCAGAATGCAGCGGCTCGTCTGGTCTTCAACCTTCCTAAATGTTCCCACACCACGCCACTCCTCCGCTCCCTTCACTGGCTTCCAGTAACTGCTAGAATCCACTTCAAGACACTGGTACTTGCGTACCATGCTGTGAATAGATCTGGCCCCTCCTACATCCAGGACATGGTTAAACTGTACACCCCAGCACGTGCACTCCGCTCTGCATCAACCCGCACTGCGAGGGGGACCCAAGTTCCCATCAGCAAAAACACGTGGGTTTGATATCCTGGCTCCAAAATGGTGGAATGAGCTCCCCATTGACATCAGGACAGCAGAAAGCTTACACATCTTCCAGAGCAGACTGAAAACTAATCTCTTTCGACTCCACTTCGAGCGATAGCATTTCTAACAAAGCACTTATATACTAACAAAGGACTGGCTTATCTACAGCTAGTTGAGTAGCACTTGAAATGTTTTGGCTCTATGAAACCTGATGTACTTATATGATTCTGTTTTCTTCAAGTTTGTATCTTCTTGGTCGAATGCACTTATTGTAAGTCGCTTTGGAAAAAAGCGTCAGCTAAATGTAATGTAATGTAATGTAATCTGGTAAATGCCGACATATTTCAAACCCAACCCCATCTCCAGT